AGAAATTACCCTCCAATTCTTTTAGCAGGGACTATCTGGTGCTGAATCAGAAGAGTTCAATATATACTCAGTTTCAGTATGCATTTATAAAGCTACATTAGAGCATGCAGTATGGTATGAAAAGGCAGAGGACAAGTTTTTCAGCTGGTGTAAAAAAGTCCTGACATCTGCGGAACTACTTAGAGGCACATCAGCTGAAGCTCTGGCCCACAGTCATCAGAAATGTACAGCCATCATTCACTCCATATGTAAAACTCAGTGGTGGAAGCGCAGAGTGAACATGTCACCGACATCTGATAAAGAGCTGCTCTGTTTATCTGGTTTCTGATAATGCCTTCCCAGACTGTGTGGTCTAAAGCAGTTTTACGATGTGCTCTACACTGCATAGCTTTGCGAAGTACAGTATCTCCTTAAAGGCAAGGATTATAGTACATTAATAATTTCATTGGCATGAACAGTAAAAAAGGAATGATGATAAAAGCTTTGGAAGCTTGTCTGCATAGAGATATGTCAAAAATTAGTCTGGGGTTGGAGGGTTTGCTCCTTAGTGTGTGCATATTGGATTAACTCCACTGAAGTCAGTACTCCTATACCAGCCTACACCAGCTGGGGAACTTGTACTTTACCTCTATCATAAATAAAGCATGTGTGTTGTTATCCACTACTCAGTTAATTTATAAATTCACGGGTAAAAGCCTCCTGCCAGTGGGTCAAAGCTTCTTCATGTCCGTAACTCCACGTTGTCACTGAAGTTAACGGTGGTTTCCCTGAGCTGGGCTGATTCAACATAAGGTCTGGTTGAAGAACAAGTCTGATTGCAGTTATGCCAGCTCTAGTCCAGAGACATCGAACTATTTCAGTGGGGTGAGAGTGCTCAGCCAGAACAAAAATAGTTGTAATTCCATTGAATTGATGGGCTTAATGCAATTTATGGTCTGGCCCAATAGACTATGTACCATTTCTGCTAACCAGCTTCTCCTTTGATAAACGGTGCTCACTTGTGTGATTGTCCCATGACAGCAGAATTTGGTCCCATGAATTCCACAGTCTGAGCCAAGTTACTTTACATCTGCTCAGCTCAAAGTCTGGTCCATTGTAATTACTGTTGTCCATTAAAACAATAAATTCACTTCGGAATCTGACTTTTCTTCTAATTCAGAGAAGGAAATAACTGACTAGAAATTAGAGCTATTTCTGTTTGATGGGGTTTTCAATGGAATTACACCAAACTGACACACAACTGTGAGTAAGCTTATATCCAGCACAGAGCGCTTACAGGACTTTGCATAGAGGGGAACTCAGTTAAAATTAAAGAACACAAGTCTCAAACAGCTGCATCATCCACTCACATGGCTTTAATAACTGGCATCAGTTGGACTCAGCTAGAGTCCTGTAAGCACGAGTGGTCCTGTGGACACTACAATTTAAATTGCAATTCTGCATACAGTGACTATTGCCTTAGTTTTATGATGTGACCACATGCACGCTTCTGTCAACTCCTTTGGCGCTCCCAGATTCAGTGCATGGAAAATGGAGTGCCCAAATCCAAGTCCCACCTGCAGCAGCAGAGGACCAAGACCTAAAAGCAATGCAGAGCCATAGCTCTGCTGCACCCAGGCCCTGGGGCTGGAGCCACTCACTCCTGTTGGGCACAGCGCTGGTCCCCCACCACATCTCCTGCACACCAATGGTCAGGGTTATGCAGATCTGTAGTAGTCCAACACCCTGAGCAGGGTGAGGGCTCAGGGAGCTGCGTGTGGCGCCACAGCCCACAGGAGGCAAGGCCAGGTCTTTTCTGCAGCCTCTCTCCAGAGCACTGAGCACACACATTGCTACTTGAGCCAGCCACTTTGTTCCTGGGCTTGGTCCTTGCTGGAGTTGCAAGGGAAAAATGGTTTAACTGTATGGTGACTTCAGGGCAAAGATAAGCATTAGCTCTTTGTGAGATGTGGTGGCACCCTGGGGTGGATTAAGGAACTGGATGGGATGGTGCCACATTCAGATTTTGTAGGATACCATGGTACAGGACATACCAACAGTAGGTGTGTGAAGCATGCACAGGTTAAATTCATAATGCCAGACCACACCAACTTGCCCCATTTTCTCTAAACCACTTTTCACATCCCTATCATTGTCTCATATGATTACAATGCCAATAAGCTGCCTGAGATGTTGCTACATACGTTGTGCTTCTGGGTACAGCTTATCATTTCTGCCTCATAAGGAGGTCAGATTTGATTCTTATCTGACACCAGTTTTATGCAGTAACTCACCTGCACCTGAATTTGCTCTCATTTCTATCTGTAGAGCCATGGGATTCCCCTGGCTGTACACAAAATCTGAGCTCACTCTTGACTTCCACAGCTACCACCATGGGTTTAAACTGGCGTAAGGTGATCACTGATCTTGGAAGACAAAAGAAACAGACAAAAGATCTTTGAAACAGAATGGCTAAAATAAAGCTACTGAGTCCACCAGAAAGGCAGAGTACTGCAGAGAAGATGGCTGCTCTCTAAGGCAGGAACATTTTGCATTCAGTAGCAGGGAGGTTTTATTGAAGAAGAGACCAAGTGAGCTTTTAGCCTTTGCACATAGGCTATGAAATATCAAGTTATTATCTACTGAGATCTATCTCTCTGTATATCTCATTAGACAATACAGAATGCCTATATGCATTGCTGTGATAGTGGTCTGCTTATACCATGGAAATCCAGAAGTATCAGAAACAGAGGAAATGAGCCCTCCCAACATTAACAAGACTTGTTTTATTTGTATTTATAAAACAGTATGTAAAGTAAAGCTGGAAGATGTCATAAGGACAGTGGACTGGCTTCTCATTGTCACCCCCTCTGCCTCAGTCCCAGCGCACTCAGTGAGGCTGGGGAGATGCTGAGAGAGGCAAAGGCCCTGGGTTGGTGGACCTGCCCACCTATAGAACATTTCACAGTTGGTTCGTAATGACAAATTAGTTTTCTTTGGCGACTTGTGAAGTATTTTTGCCTTTCTTAAAATTTCAAGACACTGGTCTATTGCATGAGTTAACCTTCTGAAAAACAATACATTGACAGCACGTGGTTTTGACGCTGACTTCAGGGGCCACAGGACCAAGATGACAGAGGTGTTGCTACTACCTGTCATACCTTCATTGCCTGCAAGGAGACAACAGATGCAAATAGGACTATATACAAACTACAGAGGAACACTGATAATTCTGTTACTATTCAGCAGTGGTAAGAGTGTTTTCTCTTTACAGCTATTGCATCTTTTTTTCCTGTGCTATGAAGTACTGAGCAGGGACTTTGTGTTGCACATCCACATCCAAATCTACATGTGTACACACACACACACATGTGCTTCCTTCAATACTGTGTGTAGTGGAGTTTCTCCTGAATTCAAAGCAAAGAAATATATTAATACTCAAGTCAGAATCCTTACCAGCTCCATATTTGCTACCTTTTAAGTTGCACTCATGAAACTAATCACTGGATTCAGGCAGCATTAAATACTAATAAAAATACAATGAAAATATTTCTTCCAAAGTACCTAAAAACTTGTCAGTGAATCTAAACTGTTATAATAGAACACCATAAAATCTGTGAAATGAAAAAAATCTAAGAAATTATGGTCCAGATTCGATTTCTCAGATTCTGTTTCTTTAGGAAGAATGAAGATCTTGATCTTTTTATTCTTCAAAAAATCCCACACTGATATCAACAGACCTGTCCCTATCTTTGAAAGGAAATAATTTATAAATGAGACAATATATTCACAGAGGGACTATTTAAATGATTAAAAGTCCAAAGATCATGTAATAAAAAGTGAAATTAAGCTACAAGAAGCAAGCTGTGAAACTCACCACCACCACTACCAACAAAAAGGCTGTAAGCTAAATCAGAATGAATAAAAAACCAAACCAAACAAACTAAACTAAACTAAACTAAACTAAACTAAACTAAACTAAACTAAACTAAACTAAACTAAACTAAACTAAACGAAACAGCAGAAATACTGGGCCAAACACAGATATCCAAACTCAGCATGAACCATTTACACTGTTAGTTTGGCAAGCGTGGGCAGAACTATTTGCCCTCTGACAGGAGCCCAACAGCTGAGATCCATGTCCACTAGGACATAGTCTGAGGGAACATGGCCCATATGGATTCATCATCTCAGGTTTTCCCTCCAGTCCCTGATCTCAGAGATCCAACACACATCATGTGGCCAGAGATACTGCATTTGAGCAGGATATTCTGCCTGCACATTGTCAAATGCTTCACTTAAGACCTGCTGCAGCTCTTGACACGGAGGTTAAGTGCTATGCAAATGCCTTGCTTGAGCACTTAGGACTTTGCTGTTCTTGGATCTCATACTGATGGAGCTCCCAAATGCTTGCATTTAGCCCTTTACTGGCATGTTCCCTTCACTGCTGAACTACTGATATTGCTCCAAAGCTCCTGAAGCATGGGACACAAACGAGAGTCTTGTCAGCTCTTGCAATTTTTTATGAAGCTTGGTGTCCTTAAATCCCAGCTGCAGAAATCAAGATATTACATCATTGTCCCAGTTTATCACTATTAAAAACATATGTGTCATTTCTGGACCTTGGCATGCTTGAAAAATGCCTGAAAACGTGTCATGAAATCAGTCTCAAAGCTCAGTATCCAGAAGGCAATACAAGAACCCCAAAAGTTTATTTAAAAAACTCCCCACCCATGATTTGAAGCCAATCTTGCAATTTTTGGAGCTTGGTTCATGAGTTTGAATGCCTAAGTGGGCTGTATTAAGAGCAGACGTAGCAAATGCCCAAGCAAACACATGCTGCTTCCCCATGGATTGAAACAAACAATCTCATTTGATTAACTCTGCTGGAAGTAATATTTTAAGGGGTAAAATGATTCCACAAAGATGACATGTTGCCATTTGAAATGAGATGAATATAGTGCCTATGTAAGTGCAATAATCCTTAATAACTAACCCAAAAGAAGCATCATCTCCAGGGATAAGATGGTAATTCACTCTCCATATTTAATTTGTTTCTAAGCCGCTTTTAAAACAAGACTGCTAAATAGTAAGTTGGCTTGTGATCCTAGACTTGACTGCTGGACTTATTATAATCATGCCATTGATTCAGCATACATTTCAAACTAAGTCACAGGATACAAAATAAGGTGGGCTAATTCCTTAAGCTGTTTAAGCAAAAGATTGTGAACATGGGGTAAATGTAGAGATAGGAGTCTGTTTACTGCAAGCCCCAGGGGGAAGGTTATACGTTGTCTTCCGAGGGACTGCAGCTGCTTCTTTGAACAGTCTTGTATCTGAAGATTCTATTTCAAGACATATCTATCTTTCATAAATGCATGGAAGTGTAGGGCTTCAGTCTACATTAAAGGAAAAAGTGACAACAATGCATTTAATTAGACTAAATAGTTACTGAATCGCATTAGTGTGATCTTGCAAAAAGGATGGAAAACAGTGGCTTATGACAAAACCACCCCAACATTACTTCATCTCAAGTACTCACCCTGTTAAAAAAGTTAAATAAAGTACTTCAAGTGTTTTGTTTTCTTTTTCTTTAAAAAAACCCAACAGCCACCTTTCATCTACATTTCTGAATGGTTCTCACTGTTGTGGTTTTATTCATTGGCTACTGGGGTCATAATCACTGTGACAAATGCTGTCAGATTCATGTTTCAGCCGTCTTACTGAAACCCTAAGAGAACAGATAAGGGTGTATCGACCAGTTCAGGAACAGGAATGTGCAGATAATACAGGATGCGCTTGTTCTGCAAATGTCTTTTGCAGACAACCCTAAACTTGATGATTTCTCTAATGATGCACCTTGGCTACATTTACAATACAGTCTTCTGGAACAAAACATTAGGAATTTTTGATTTTTAAGAAAAGGTAGTACTACAGGGAGCTAATATACAACAGCTACAGTAAAGTTTGTCTTAAATATGCATTGGGCAGAGTCCTCAAACTGCTCTTATTGCAAATATCCAGGGCCTGCTTTAAAAATCATAACAGTCTGAACCTCTTAAATGCAAATTTTTCCTATTTATCTGGTTACAACCCAGTGAGTAGAATCCAATAACTCACCAGATTAAAGGATATACAGGTTTATATAGCAGAAGGTAATTGCAATTAACTAATATCTGGATGGCATTTAATACACATATTGTATTATTTCAATGAGATGAGACAGAATAATATTTACATTGCTATGAGCATTTTCTATTTATGGAAATGGATTTTACAGTTCAGTAAGGTATGCAGGTGTTGTATCAAGAATGAGATGAGACCATTTAAAGTCTTGCAAATTATTGATATAAATTCATTTTGTTTTGTTTCATGCACCAGCGCTTCTTGCAGTGGCACCAGAAGAGCAGTGCAGTTTATAACAGGGGAAAAAAAAGAAGAGGAAAGAGCAAATGTGAAATGGTGTAATTTATTCACAATTGCTTTGAAATTCTATCTGAATTGTCTCATTATTATTCACGCATTAGAGGAATGGTCTGAAACATGACAGCATGGGTAAACAGATGCAGAGCTTGGAAAATAGGTAATCTGACTGAAGTATTCATGGCCATTATTAAACAAATGTTATATTGCTTTTGGGTAAATCTGGTGATTTTATTTAATTTGACATTGTTTTCAAGATAGCAAGATAATACTGTTCGTTTCTAATGTTCTAAAATGAACAAAACAGGTGAAAATTGATGCCACACGGAATTATAATGTTTGAACAGTAGCTGGTTAGTTAAACTTCTAGAGTTTCATGAAGAATCTGCATACACTTATTAATGGACTTTCACATACAATATCAATGCTTAGAGTGTAGCAGTCCTGTTAAAATCTGCTTTCACCGAGTCACTATGCAAGGAGAGATTGTTCTACGAAAAAAAATCTTGGATGAGTATTTGATTGAAACTAAACAGCAAAACTGAAAGAAAATTCACAGATTTAGTATAGGAATGGTAGATAAGACTATGAAAGCTAATATTTGGAAACTGCCTAAAAACTGCAATAAATTCTGCTGCCTAATGAAATTACTAAGCCGACAATAAACAGGAAGAATGTCATATCAAAACCTCATTGCATAGTGTGTCATCATTCTTTTATGAGGCATTCCTTCAAACTTTTACCTCTTAACACCTTTGGTGATCTTACATTATGTATCTGTAAGATATTCAATGTTCTCTTTTAGAGATTAAGCCTATAGGAAACATGAAACCTTAGGAATGTACTATGTCAGGTAATGATGCCAGAATTTAGCATCAAAAAGCTAGGTTCAGGTTCAGAAGATGATTTTAAATCATATGAATAGCTATAACTTCTACTAATTTATTTCAGAAGGGATTTCTCATATATACCCTCAAATATTTAAGACGCTTTGTACTATTTCTCAGGAATCCATATCTTCTCAAAGTGCTTTTTTGTTTTCACTTGAAGGCAGCATGGACTTAAAACAATACTGCAGGGAATGTACCGTTCCATAAAGCACATAAGGATGGCAGGATCCAGGAGACACAAGGCATAGAAAATTGTTGAAAATTATTTGATGGTACAACACATACTGCTCTTGAGTCATAAGTTCAATTTATGGTGACTTCTACTTCCAACAGATAGGATATTAAAAAAGGCAATAAAAATGAAGTTACATGAATAAACTTCCAAAAATGAGTGGAGTTCCACCAGTGATCGTCTCTGCGCTGGTAGAGGTAGAAGAATGGGGATGTCATGAACAGGGCAGCAGTCACTACAACAAACGAGCCTCAATGCGGAGCCAGTGGAGTCCTTGGCGAACATAACGAACCAGATTGGTCATACTGCTGTGTTGTGTTAAGGGTCCCATCACTGAGTCCAGGTCTACAAAGAATTCTGCAATACACAAGAAACGGAAGTCATTCCTTCAGGCAATGGTACTGAAGTACACACATATACCATGACTTCCCACTCAGCAGCAGCAGTGCAAGTAGTGAGTTTGCAAGACGCTGCACACAAGAGCACATGGTCAGTTGGAAAGAAAGGCAGCAACATATTTAAGCAGACCAAATTAGATTAGATTATCCATACTGGAAGCTAACCACAAAGTAGTATGAGTGGTTGCCAATAGCCTTTCCTTAGCTCTGATGATTTGCACTCTTTGTTTTCTGAGTCTAGGTTTGCTGACTTCATGATTTAAATAGCTGGTAACAAACTGTGGCATTTCCTTTTCTACACTGTACCCTCTCCTGGGCATGAAGAGCCAGTCTGGGGACCTTACTTGCTTTTGCCCCACCCTCCAAGTTCTGCCTCTGAAGCACCTTTGGCCCTCTCCTCATTCTGCTGCAGCTGCAGACCACAAAGGATGTGTGGGGTAGGCAGGGAGAAGGAATAGGAGAGAGGGAATGCAGCAGGAAAATAGCATCTAGGAGATGGAAACCTATAAGGGGAAAGAAAAGATGGGTAAGGCCACTCGGATCCGCTGTTGGGAAGGGTTAACAGAAGGTCACTAAACAGAGAGCCATAATTAGGAAGCGACACACTAGTTTACTTTATGCCATGTGTTAGATGCACTCTGGGTGAAAGACTAGAGCTAACAGACCTTTCCTAATTGCTTTCAGTGGTGAACTGGATTGTGTCCTCTATTCTCCCACAGTTGTCTTTTTGCTCACTGAGGTGCAGGCACTCCTACATATACAACACTTACTTACACTATATTTAGGTGAGTGGAGCCTGCTCTCAGTTGAAGCCCCTCAGAGCTCAGATAACAACCAACAGTCACAGTAAACAGTGGCTGAGCCCTTACATTCTCACCCTATCTAAAATCCAGTACACAGCACTCAGCCAGCTAACACTGTGCTGGCTGCAGTTCGGAAGAGCAGATGCCAGGTACAAAATCATTATCAGTACTTTATTCAGTAAGTAAGTGCTACTTTGAGGTCTTCTATCCAAGTATTGACAGACTGGCCTTGGTCAGCTTGGGAGCTACAGCAGTATCACAGCACAAAGCGATTTGGCTGGAGGCAAGCATAATGAAAGCTTAGGGCTATCACCAGTTGTGTTAAGATGCTGCAGCCAGCAGTTACTTTTAATCTTCCTTCCTCTCTTTTACTCCTCTCCTCCAGTGTAAAATCAATACATTTAGAAGTGAAATAATGCACTGTCTTGCTTACATTCTAGAGATCTCATTCTAGACTCAAATAAATAGTAAGTGCTTTAAACACTGAGAATTTACCTTAAAGCCTAATTTCAGCTTAATATTTCTTGAGAAAGCTACAAGCACTGAAGCCACTATTAAATTTATGCATGAAAGAAGAGGCCTTTGTCCCGCCAGAGCTGATAGTTTTCTGCTATAAAGTGCTGCTATCTTTGGAAACTTAAAAAAAATCTGATTTTGTAAAGCCAGCTGAGAGTTTGATGTTATAAATGGTGAAAAATCTCTCATGGGCACAAACCAGCCCATGGTCTGTTTACAGTTTAGCCTGGCCTGTTACAGAGTTTTGACAAACTCCTTCCAGTCTCCCCCACACTCTGAAGTCTACTGACCAGGGGAAATTCAACCAGAGGTACACAGCAGTATGTTCCTGCTCTCCTTTTCAAACCAGATCAGCTTGGCGGGTCACAGTTCTGCTGCTCTCCCTCTTGCCATGCCTTTTTATTTTAATGGCACATCTTTTGTCAGGCTGACAAGAAGGGCTGCTGTCTCCTGGTCTGAGCCAGCTGGACATGAATCAACTCCAAACTGGGAGCGTGCAGGCATACTCAGAGGAGCACAAAATCTAAGCTGACAGCTGTGGACAAGAGGAGGCTGCACAACTCCTACACCATGGAAGAAATCTCTTGTGTTTGCATGGGCATGACCTACGAAACATCTATGACAGCAGTAAGATGTAGAGGTAAAGGCTATTAGACATTACAACGATGGGGCCACATTTTTACATCCATCTCTATTTGTTCATCAGGGACATGTTCTTGGGCAAGGCACACCCTGTGATTCAGAAGACAACAGAAACAATAAGGACTGATGACAAAAAAAAACAAACAAAACCCAAAACCAAAAAAAGACTGGGTCTGGTTTGTATTTTCTGTTGGGTTGTTTTTTTTTTGGTTAAGAAAATGATTTTTTATCTTACATGTGTGTTTCTTTATGGGTTTGAGTTTATTTGCTTGGCTTTTGAGACCACTCTTACATGGGGGAAATGAATTATGATTTTATAAATTATTATTTTTTTTCAATTTTCTGATGAACTGACTTCCAAAACTCCTGAAAGAGACCAGAAGATCTGTCCTTTACCTGGGATTCAAAGCAGAGTCTAGGGTTTGCATCTATCCTGCTTGCTGTCATGCTGCATTTTTAAAACTCAAGAGTCCATGTACCAGTGTCCCGGAGCTTGGGCACTGCAATGGCCAGTCCAGCTGGCAAAGGTGGATTAGAGCTAGCCCTGGGGAAAGGGATGAGTCCTGTCTCAGCCATAAAGATAGAGGTGTTTTGGATTGAGAAGCACAGATGACATCTACTAAAATAATTACAGCTGTGTTTCATAAAACATTGTACCATTTCTCATGTCAAAGTGTCTTAAATACTTTTGTAAATAGAATCCATCATGTGATATGATGATGGCTGCAGAGTACCACAACAGTTCTTATATACTTTTTTAGTTTTGAATTTTTCAAACTGCAGTCTAATTGTGTATAAACATGCAACTTTAAATTCAGTATTTAATTAGAAATAAGGTATCCTTTCAGACAAAATGTAAAGACAGATATGCTATAGTATGTATGAAACTCTGATCTCTCTCCAATGGTTTACAATACTTAAATAAAATCTGAAGTAACATGAACTTCCCATTCCCTGTAACGTGGCTGCAGTTTGTGAAACAAGCCATGAAAGAACAGGGCACAACCCTAGATGTCTCGCTCATGTGAGAAATCCTCATTCATGCACCCGGTTTCACTAAAGTCAAAGGGACTGCTCATCTGAATAAAGATTATTCCTATATGGCTTTTCAGAATTGGGTTTATTTGACTGCAAATCAAAATGAGAACAAAGAGGAGTGTAGGGGGGAAATGCAGAAAGAGAGTCAGCAGGTTTTTTCTCATCCAGCTCTAGGGCTGATAACAGCAGTGGCTGGGTACATTTTCTGTCTGCTGGCTGAATGCCTGAGCTATTTTGATTCAATACCAAGTAGAACATTTAACAACTCCACAACACCCAGGGCTAATTACAAGATTATCGCCATCTCTTTCTCCTATCAGAGCATCCTTCTGCATTCCCTCTTTAATATTCTGCAGTACATTTGACAGGGAATCACTTTCACATTTTGTGAAAATGGATGCAGCTATGGAAAATATTCAAAATGACTGCACTGCTACTAAATTAACCAATGCGAACAAAGACAAGAAGCAGTGGGGAGGACTGGACAGAACTTCTATTATTGTTCCTCATCCAGGGATATATCATTATGACCCACTATTCAGACATAAAACTCTATAAATCTCAAGCTTAGTTTCTCTAAATCAGTGGAAATTTGCCACTGACATTAATGGGAGTAAGATCAAACTGCACACAGCGAGCACATTTGTCAGGAGAAGTCAGCCATCTGAAATCTCAGTATAATTTAAGAGAATGAGCCAATTCATGATGAGAATATTTCCCAGTTAGGCTCTGTATCTCTAGTGTCAAAGAAAGCTTTGTCAATGATTTGTGTAAGCCCAAAGCTGGAATCTGAATAATTACATTATCATGGGGAAGTTCACAGCTGGTCAATAGTAGGCCAAATTTGTCCTTTAGTTACATCTCAGCCACTCCACTACACTTGATATAACCCAGTCACAAACTGCTTTCCAAAACTCCATTGAAATGACTGTGGTAAAGACTTACATTTTATTGTTAGGAATAAACAAGCAGATTTGCAATTCAACCATAGGAGAGTCAAGGTCATGGCTTAAAGTGGACATCTCCTAACCGGACTCCCTGCATAAACATAACTTCTAATGTTTGCTTATTATCCTAGCTAGCATCTTAGTAGTCTTAAACCCGTTGACAGAGCAGTCTGAAAATAACCTCAGTGCTCTACGAGAAGCTGAAACTGTGAACAAATTTGCAGACTCAAAAGCTCTCATCACTTGGGGCTCACGTTCGTTAAACTATTTGCCAGCTGCTCTGATAACCCCATGTTCAGTGTGTGCTACACATCCCCCTCCCATGCCTGACAAGAGAAGATATGCATTGGCTACAGCAACCAGCAAGCAGATTTGGTCTGTTTGCTCAAGCTGTCTCAGTTGTGCACCTAGATGTGGTGGTTTTGGGTCCAATTCCCAGCAACACCTACGAGAACAGAAAGCAAGCTAAAGCTGATGAGCCAAAACGGACAAAGCAGAAGCGGAGTGGGGCACCTTTGTTCTCCTTAGTCAGCTTGTCAGCCATGTCCCAGTGCTCATAGCTTCGCAGGACGTTGTTGGTGATGTTGACGTGGCTGGCAGCCATGTGGTGGATACGCTGAGGGATGGTGATGGTCCCTGCCGAGGAGGAGCCGGCAGTGCCCGCACTGCTTCCAGCAGAGCTGACTGGGGATGGGCTCAGGGACATGGGCGATGGCGTTTCTGTGCTCCTGCGAGAGGTAAAGGGGGAGTGAGACCCACACAACTTCACTGCCATCCTAAATGCACTTGAAAAATTAACTCTGCACCCAGTCAGGGTAGTAGTATATCCTAGTTTTATGAGAAAGGAGAGCTTATAAAGTGGAATGACTGAAAATAAAAAGGGATTTAATTCTCCCTATAAACGAACCTGTTATTTAAAAAAGAAAAAAAAAATCTATCATCAAAATAGAGCAATCTTTCAGACAAAGAAATATCTCATCGCTGTAATGATTTTTCTACCTGCTGCCAGAAGCTTCAACGGCAGTTAGAAAACACTAAATGTGCAATACTGGCTTATTATCAAAGCATTTTGTGAAAACCACAATGACAGTTTGCTCCAAAAACAGTCACCACAATAAGTAAAGTGCAAGTCTTAAAAGCAGCCTGCAGAGCAGTTTTAGGAGCTGAGGGTACTGTAGGATTATGAGTATCTCTATAGGATTCTTTAAGAGTGGATATGGAGATTTGTTTCTAATTGCCTACAGTTCAACTGCACAGTTTTGTTCAGAGCAGTGTTTTAAGTTACCTACTTAGTGCAACACTAATGTTCTAATATAGATTTTCCTTTAATTCAATTAGGAATTACCTGCTGGCTGCACGCAGTGCAGAGGTCAGCACAGCAAGCTCATGTTTAGAGCTGTGCAGCACTGAATGCTCACATACTGCTATTCTCTTTGAAATTTACAGAATCATTTAGGTTGGAAAAGACCTTTAAGATCACTGAGTCCAACTGCTAACCCAGCATTGGCAAGTCCACCACTAAACCATGTCTCTAAGTCCCACATCTATACAGCTTTTAAATACCTCCAGAGATGGCGACTCCACCACTTCCCTGGGCAGCCTGTTCCAGTGCTTGACAACCCTTTTGGGGAAGAAATTTTTCCTAACATCCAACCTAAAACTCTGGATCGGGATTCTGCAACCTGTCTTGAGAGGCTGCCACTGGGTGCCTCACACTGTGCAACAGCATCAAGCTCACTCATGCTCATTATGGGCCTGATCCGAACACCAGGGTAGAAAAGCTCCTCCTCTTGGCTTTACAGGACACCACCAACAGTCCTGAACATGAAGTGTGGGTACGGACCTGCTGTGCTGATACCTTGCAGGTGCCACAGGACAGACTGCCACCACAGCACAGCCTTGGGCCGAAAGACATTTATGGCAACAGCTTTTGTTGCTGATTTTAAGGTCCTTTCCAACACTAACTATTCTATGATTCTGTGATTTTTCAGCAGTGCCCTGCTATTACCTGTGCTTGCCAAGAAGCTCCTGTGATACATTCTTTTTCCAGAGGTAAAGACCAAGTTAATTCAGAAGGTACTAGCTTTTTACACAGCTTATAGTTTAAGCATATCCTATGGCACAACTGTTTTAAGTCTCAAAACATCCTAGTTACTTGACACGCTGCAGTGCCTTTAATGCACAGAAGAGCTGAACTATACTAGATTAGGTCTGGGAGCAGTTAAAAATCGTAAGTATCTGAGGACACCAGGAGTATTTTGTTAGAGGCACTTACAACAAGCTGACGCACTTCTGCCAAATAAAGCACATTGTTCATTGGATTTACCCTGTTGTGCACAGCCATTACTACTGTGGTGAGTCTATTAAATCACTGTATTTTGTGCTTTCTGTTGCTAGAGGTGGGAAATATTTCTGTAATGAAACCAAGGAAATTTTGTTTCATTGCCAGACTGGAACTCAGGCCAACTTTGTAGAGGTTCACAAACCTTTCAAACAAAAGTGGTCAGAACTCTCAATAAGCCAAGGTGAGACTTTTGGTGGTCTGAGATCTCAAGCAAACTACACTTGATGGCAATGGATAAGATTTGCTATGTTCAAAAAAAAAACTATAAGAATACCCTGCTTTGTCCCCATTCTGAACTAGGCTGCTGATGTGCCTCCAGTGGTGCCATACCCTGATGGTGTTTAGTTTCTTCTCTGTGGTGCGTGGCTTCTCTTCCCATCTGGGAATAAGTGGAAACTGCAGAGCAAGTAGCCCTGGGGAAGGCAGAGCACGTGTTGCCACTGGCAGCACCAGGCCTGTGACAATCCCTGGGGTCACCAGGAAACATCTAAGATACATGGCAACTGAGCCAGCTGGACAGCTTTTCTTCTGAGGGGACAGAAGACCTGAGTGTGAACTGTGGCCTTTGTGTGTTTGGTCATGGGTGTTCACAATAATACCATTATAACAAGGCCTTGTCATATTCAGTTATTCTTACATGTCAGATGATTCCTTCTCTGAATAAAGGACAGAGGTATGCATTTTCAGAGCTTTACTTCCTTATCTCCAAAGTTAGAGGGAAGTGACCAATCAGTTGGGTATTATGTTAGAAATGATGCTGAACCAAATGCTGGGTTTCTGCTGCCTACCTTGTGTCCAGATAAGAATTTTGTCTTCCATTCAAAACCCACTGAATCTAAAACCTGGGCACCTAATCAGCTCCTTTAAATAGCAAGGGAGATGTCATCATCTGCAGAGCACACACTTCATGGTGTCTATTATAGGACAGGAATAAAAGGATAACTGCTGCTCTATGAAATTTTTGGGTATAAGCTACTTGTTAAGGAACAAAAGAAGTGTAACACTCCAGTGGTCTATTTTGGCACTAAATTTTTACATAAACCTTACTGTATATTTACTGCAATACAAGGTTTCACTGACATTTCAATGTTTTGAAAAACTGACACATATTGAATAATTTAATTTAGTAGTTGCTTTTCCCGTGTTAAAATATCTTTTCTGCTTTTATTTAAAAACTTCAGTTTGTGTTATAATGTATATGAAAATATCTCTATACATACACATAAACAAAACAATTTGGGGGATTTGGTGTGTGTGTATATATACCAAAATATTCTGAATCATCTATGATACCATTTTTTTTTAAGCAAAATTTTGGAAGTTGGGGGTTTGCATTGATTCAGAACAAAGTGTGTCTGAAAACTTCAATTCTCTGTGTGTTAAACTTCAACCCCTTTTACAGTTTTATGACTTTGTTTCCTTGGAGTGTCTAATACTGATATCTTCTTATGAACCGCTAGAAAGAGACCATTAACAAGAATCATTTTCACCTAGAATTCAGCATACTAAAAAAAGAAGTAAAGACAGGTGAAGTTCTTCTCCATTGTTCTTCCTGTACCTGTATGTGTGGCAAGGAGAAAGGAGCAGGAGAAATGTGTGTCAGGTGGCAACAGACATTGCACAATAAAGGCAAGGTTGCAGCAGCAATGCACTTTCACTGAATGGCAGATCATAATTGCATTGCCCTGACTTCATATCTGAGGCGAGGGTATTTTAACATTAGTATAAAGCCACTGATAATTGGCTGACTAAGTGCCTTCACATTTTCACCACTATTATGCCTTTAGTTTTATTAAACAGCACTTACCATATATCAATGAAATATTCATTGGTCTTTCATTACTGAAGGAATCATTGAAATATCATTGCAATGAAGGTTAACTTTACTTTGGCTTCCTGAAATGACATGGTACTTGCTAGCTAATTAACAGATATTTTTATGGCCTTCATTTGGCTTGAGAAGCAAACTGTCAAAGAATTCAGCACAGAACCACCATGGCTGATATTAGACTTAAGGGGGCTTTGCACAAAGGTGTGTTTTGGCTCTTCCTTCCCAACCACACTGGATGGCTAACATGGGTGCCTGATTTAGCCCAGTGGAATCCCCCCACCCCACAAGCCTAAGGCAGCTACAAGGTCAATTCTATAGCCTGAAGAACATTTTCAAGCTGCTACATATATGAAACATACCCGTGGCTCCCAGACCATCGTGTCATGGCCTGTCCTTTGCCTTTAAAGGCATCAAAATATTGTGCCCCCCCTCTTGGAACCACTTGTTCCTGGACAGAAGTACTCAGCAGAAAATACTCACTTTCCATTGCCGCCCCAAGGTGAGGGGGCCTGAGAGGCTTTTGAAGAGTTCTGTAAGTACAAAACCAAAATGTAAATAAAGGTGATGCAAGTACATGAATACTGATGATGTAAGCTCAACACTCCCTGTTTTCTTTGCAAGAGCTACAGTGCATACAGCAGAACAGCTCTGCACATCAGTCCTGTAACTAAATGGCTGGCGGATGACTGGTAGGTTCCAACCAATACCTCGAAAGTCACTTAATCAAAGAGAGAATACAGTAAAGTTCCAGTAAAAGCAGATGTATTTCACAAAGAAATGACTTAATTACCCCTGAAACTTACTCAATGACTTGTTATCTTTAGGGGAGCCTTTAATCTTTTGACAAGAAACACTAAGAATTTGGGTTGATGCCTTAACAAAATTAATCCCTCCCAGATTTGTAGGGAAGGCGGCTTGGGATTCATACAGTAGTAGAAATAAAACTTCTAGTGAGGATCTGGTTGAGTGCCCTTGGTTTTATGTATTTTATTTGCACAAATTGACTTGCCTTACCTGCTTACTCATTCTGTCTTTCACGTCTGTGTAACACCTTGTGCAACCTCGTACAAAAAGACTGCCTGGCAACAATAAAGCCCAGATTTTTCCAGTCTTGCTCAGACTGGGTGGTATCTTACTCAGTTCCTGGAAAAAGTGGTAGTATCAGGGCTGAAGCTATCTACGCGTGCTTTCTGAAAACAATCACTCTGAGCTCCCTTGCAAAGAAGTCAGCGTATACAGTGAGAATTCAATCAATTTTTACAAGCTTTCTGCAAAGGATTACCGTCATTATTACAATATTCATCTGGTTACTCTAATCACTATTTTACATGAGGCACAGAGATTCAGAGGAACACAAAGCAGCCTAGGACATGGTGCAGGGTCGCGCAGCTGATTCTGGCAGCAAAATCGGAACCTTGATTTCTAAAACAGAGCTACACTTGCTAATTAATCAAAGCAGAAAACACTGCCCAAAAGATGATACTGGCCTTGCCTGTATGTTCCTATACAGCATGCCACTTGTTTCATTAAAGATGAAATGGAAGCATATGTAGTGCATATTTTTGCCACCCACTCACATATAAGAAAGAGGGAGATCCTAAACTCCCCTGGGAAGTCTTCAGGGATGAAGAAGCAGCTTTGATGTTATTTTCTACTGTCTGGGGATTGTTCCTAACAATATCTGGAGACAAGTACTAGCTCTGTCAAGATTAAGGTTAGTTCTCAATTGGAGGTAGTTATTTGACAATGAAAATATTTGAACAGTTTTGCCCATGACTGTTAACAACACATTTCCTAAACCATAAAAATCTTCCTGAAACTTCTAGTTGAAATGCATCGCAGGATGCCTCTTCTGCTAATCTTATAAAGTTTGGTTTCAATTTTAACAATTTATTATTTTAGTTATATTTTACTCTAAGTTGTCTTTAAATTTCAAAACTACTTTTATGATTAAATGGTTATTTTCTGTTTTGAAATGTAAAAAATACCAATTCGAAACTCATAACTGGAAATTAATCAGAAACAGTTCTGTCCACAAATGGTTTCAATTTGGACAAAGCGGCATTTTGCAAGGAAGATATGAAGAACAATTCTGCCAAAAAATTCCTCTCCAGCTCTGCTGTAAACAGCACTTTTCACAGCTAAAATTGTGTAAAATCTTGAAAAACAACTCTATTCAAACAGTTAATCTATTTCATTTGTATTACAGATTCTCGCTAGTGAACAGAGAACATTGCGCAGCAATACAAAACTAATACGTAGTTAATAGCTTCCATTCTTTTCTTTTCTCCTCCTATGCCTTTACTACAAAAAGATCCTGAACATATAATCTGTATATACTCAAACACTACTTCTAGCAAATGAGTTACAGTGCCTACAGCATACACACAGTAACATTAGCTGAAATACTCAGCTTCAATTGGATACTTAAAATCAGCATTCCAGATTTGTCTATTTTATTATGTTTCAATTTTTTGTTCTCTCATTTTCATTTACATTAAAAGACATTTTCTCTGTGCACATACAGTAAAAGGGTCTTATGCAGGGTGTAGTAATATGTTCTTCATTGTACTTATTTGCACAGAAGAAGAATCCTCTTTACCCTCTTCTTTTTTAAGAAATCACTACTTTCTGCAGAAAATGTTTTAAGAGACAATCTACATCCATCCAGGATAAAACCTGGAGTGCATGAAACACATTACAGGTAAATGCTGAAACTACAGATACATGTAGTTCAAATTTAATTTGTTGTGCAAATCCCTGACTGAAAACTCTGTGAGTACAACAGATGCACTCCTAATGACTTCAAGAGAGCCTCAATTTAAGCATACAATCAGGAGTAATATTACTGAAGTTCCACACAGAGGACACGAGGGAAGTCAGGACTAAGTGGTGGTGCTATGGTAGTACTGGAAATTAGCAGCTGAAGGACCATTTACATTAAAATATTAAGACTACAGAGTTAAAAATTTTACTGGTTTGTCAAAGCCTGGAACAAATTCACACGGGCTGACAAAATCAACAAAAGAAAAAAGACTGATGGGCTGACAAACCAGTATAAATACTTAATTATAGAACAATATGCAGTAATAAAGTACAAAAATTAATGCATGCCTCCAACAGCATTAACCAGGAAAACACAAATATCAAAACCTTAGCAGGGTTGAAGAAAGATTATGTTTCTCAATTTAGGGATTGTGAGGATCTGTCATTCTTAAATAGCATTTGAGAAGGTAAAGGAAAACATCACTGATTGATGACAATCAGCTGATCTTCACTCGATTTAAGGTAAAGGCAAACTTTCCATATGTAGGTAAGACAATTTGAAGTTCTACAGAAATAAAAGAAGAAATCTTTGAATCTGCAATAAGCTTCAGCAAATCTCACTGAATTTAGAATCTAAATTCAACTAACTAAAGCCTAAATAATTGCTTTATTATGGCTCACTGGGGGTCAGCTCATAATCACTTGCACATTGAAATCTTGGAAGAAGCGGTTTCCTTTACAGAAACTTGCATAAACATTACATGGTGTTGAGAATAATGTTATTTTAGTAGAATTACTGAGTATGGTCCTTTGAATCAAGTGACTAATCCAAAAATCCCCCAAATCACTTCTGTCCCCACTGCCTGGCAGCCATCCTGCCTGCATTTCCCAGGGGAGGGGTTAAATGTGTTACTTTTAAGTAACGCACTTGTGAAAGCTCTCAGTACTGGTATGAATTTCATTTCACATCAATAAATTAAGCAGCATAAAGATTACCTTAAAATATTCCATCAGAGATCTGGAGTACTTCATAGCATGGTCCTTCTTTAGTTTAAACATTCTCAAGTAGAGAAGTGATAAGCATCGGTAGCTGTGGTAATTACGAGAGGATTATGTTAATTCCATTGCTTAATGAAACCTATAAACTGTAAAAGAAAACTAAATGCTGACCGACATTTTGCAGTTTCTGTTCTAAGGTTAGATTTTGAAACATAAGCAAATGGAGAAAGAAAAAAAAAAGTGGTCAAAAGCATTAAAATCCCATCTTGATAAGAGTATAAATTAGAAGAATAAATGTTTAGTCAGCTGCTGAAGAAATCCATTAGTTATCCTTTAATAGTTTAATGGAAAACAAGAATAATGATCTACTGTAAGCTGCTTAAGTAATTCAGTACTTTTAAAGTCCTCCTTAAGATTTTAGCTGCTTCTCTCATTGTCGCAATGGGACTTACCATAAAACTGCTAATTTCTTGTCCCCTTCCGTGGCAGAAGAGCCTGTGAAATTCTTGAGTCTCATTGCATACCTTGTCAGAAAGGTAAGGAGAGAAGAAACTGAGAGTTAAGGTGTTTCCAAGAATATTAGTGACACTCTGAAAAATATCAGCCACACATAGATACTCTTCCCCAACTGCCATAGTTAAAGGCCACATCATTCTGTAATGATGAGATCAATGTAAAATTCAACAGAAAGCACCACTTAAAATCTGGAGGGCTAAAGTAAATCACCAACCCATTTTCTGGGCAAATGAGGTGAACTGTCTTTGGGCATATTAATGATATTATATCCAGCCATCTATTATATATTGATATTATATATTGATATATCTATTATATATTGATATATCATTTGATATATATATAATGATAGAATATATATAAAATGGTATAATTTGATTATATATTGATATATCTATTATATATTGATATATCATTATCTAATGATATTATATCCAGCCATCTATCCACATCATTCTGTAATGATGAGATCAATGTAAAATTCAACAGAAAGCACCACTTAAAATCTGGAGGGCTAAAGTAAATCACCAACCCATTTTCTGGGCAAACGAGGTGAACTGTCTTTGGGCATATTAATGATATTATATCCAGCCATCTAGGCTGGGTCATGTAAACATTCATGGTAAGTGTTGGCCAGAAGCATATGACCCTGGCCCTATATGTACTGGAGAGTAATCTATAATAAGGTTTTACATAATATACTTTGGGCTTGAATAATACCTTCAAAATCCTTCTCATAAATGCTTCTTCAAAGCTTTTAATGTATTTTATATATAAAATGGTTTTAAATACAGGAAAGGTCCTGTTCACAGTTTTTTAAAGTACTGGGTCAATTAATTTATGAGTCTTGTGTACTTGGTCTTCCCTCTATTTAATCGCTGCTGTCCAGCATTTAGATCATCAAAGACTGAGTATTTCTACCTCCTCTCTCCTTCTTTTTTTTTTCCCCCTTAACTGAGCACACTCCACTCCATGCATTTATTCTCTTGAAAATCAATGCATCGCATAAAATCATTGTTCTGAGCCCTAATGCAATTTCACAGGTACTTGTGTTAGAATCAGTAATAGGGTTCACTGTTGCATAAGAAAGTTTTAAGGTATCTAAGGCAGTCTTGATGAGTTCTCATTTACAAGGAGGTAATGGAGTGCAGGCAGGCAGTCCTGCTCTCACTCTGCCTTCCTCCAACCACCCCTGTCATCAGCCCCCATCTTGCAGCTGTAGCACAGCACCTCATGTGCTTCCTTCATGTCGTATCTCACCTGCTCTTTGGTACTGTTGTTCCAGTCATATTGAATAAATCTGATCAAACACAAATAAATATGTTTCTGGGATTTCCAGTGTTACATTAGGGCTTTTAGTGTCACCATTAACTTTGAAACACCTTTGACAGTCAGATCTCTGATACTCCCAATCTCTGATGTTTCACTTGCTTTCACAAATAGGTGTCTGATGCAGATACTCAGGGCAGACACAGCTAATGCAAAAGAGGCAAATGGTGCCTCTGATTAAAATGTGAGAGTAAAAGTGAGGAGTAAAAGTGAGAAGACTCCTATTTCTTATCTTACAGTAAAAAAATCTACATTAACATTAGAAGCCACATTGAGAAAGTGCGTGTGCACAACTGCATTCTTGGTTTCTACATTCAGCACCCACTGCAGCCCATTGCGGCAGTGAATTTGTCCATGGAGTGTATTTGAACCTGTACCAGCCTGCTGCTCACCTGCGCAATCATGTTTGACCACTGACAGCAATTAAATGGGCAAATCTCACTGGCTACCCACAAGATGCTGCATACAAGAGTTGGTAAATTGAACTCTGCTTTTGATGGTAGGTGGTGGAATTAATTTCACTTCACTTCAGCTCTTTAGAAATTGGAGATCTACTATAGCAAAGTCCTCCATATTCTTCTAGAGCCAAAAGCAGTTCAAAAAGCAATCCAAATATAGTTCAGGTGCTGCTTCTGTGCCAATGTCTATCTGTCACAGAGCCTGCAGCAGGACTGTGCTGATACAGGAGCTGGTGGGAGGATCAAGGCAGCAGGGCTGTGTAGGCTGAGGAATACCAGTTGCTCCAAGATGCAGTCATACATGCAGCTGACTCCATCCAGCACCAGTGGTGGAGGAGAGCTGCAGGTATCACCCACTTGTGAGTTACTCCTAGAGCTGCCATTCTCGCAGTTAAGTAACGCATTTGGTGTGGCTCTTAAATGAATGAAGATTTTTGGTCCATTCACTTCTGAACAGACAGAATGCTGGGCTGAGCAACAACATCTTCCACTGTGCCATGTGGCTTTCTTAAAAAAATAAAGATAATGTGGGCTCCTATGAAGAAACTCTTACTTCTTTAAAAACAATTTATCCTGCCATACAACTGTAGTTATGTAGTTCAGGACTCAAAGTACTGTGCTGTTTGCTGTCAGAGTGCAGGCAGAGGTAGACTGCTCCTTTTCTTAAGCCCTCTGCTCTCGAGAGTTTAACTTGGGTCCTGAATGTTGAGTGAACATAACTTTTTTTGTTAAGTAATCTCTTCAGAGTTTCTTTCTTTCTTTATGAAGTGTAGGATGTAAAAACATGTTTTTAAATATTTAACAAGCACATTATTTACCTGAGAGTAAGAGCTTCTTAAGATCTGATACATTTTATTATGTAAATACCTGCTTACTCAGAATGTAAACCATGCATTATTTCTGGCAGTCCCCATTAGCTAATCTGGCATCTTAAAATCCTGCATGTTAAAAAAACACCTTTGTCATATTAAAAATCAAACATTTAGGGCCTGATTTGCCTCTTTTTCTTTCTTTTGTGAAAACTACCAGTAATTACGCTGAGATTAATGGTGTTATTCCCAGCACACACTGGAGAAAGCAAAGGTACATCACAGTGAAGAGGAAAAATCTTGTTGTTCTACTTATAGGTAAATTTAATCCTGCTTGATTTCACTTTGGTAATTTGTGCAAGTAAAGCAAACAAGCCCTTAGTTACTCAGGAGACCATTATTTCTACAGAGCCAAGACTTTGAAACAGCTACAGGGAATAGGAGCAGATTTTAAAATAATAATTCAGACATTTTATTAGTAAGTTAAGGCTCTCTTATCCATATTCTAAGCCTACAAAACTGTATTTAAACTAATTCAGCTGGTTCACATTCAGTTAACATTAAAAAATATACTTCTTTAATACAATACACGCAGAAAGCTTCTTCTCTATGATCTTATGTGCCAAATTTCAGCTTTTTTCTTTTAACAGCCAAGTTATAAACCTCTAAAACCAGGGTTTGTAATAGAAATCCTGACAGACTCACTTTAATGTTTTGAATTATAAAACTACACCTTTTAAAAAGACAAGTGTCATTGCCAAACAGTGAAATTACTATACTTTACTTCCACCCACTACATTTCAATTTTAATTTTATGAATATTGCAAATTATAACACTCACATTATAACCTCTAAAGGGGATAATTTATAAAAGCAGTGTCCATCAATTATAAATTTTCCATGACATTAATAAAATGGCAAGAACTAATTATGATGACTTCTGAGATGAAGATGCCTTGGACAAATCATTAATACGTCGAAATGGTATTTTTTAAAACATAGCAGGTTCTAATTATGACTGAAATGAGATGATGAAAATGATCACAGAAAGGACATTAACCTGATGAGTTCCACAGTCTCTGAGTACATGGTGTATGGAGATTTAGCTTCTAATGGATCTCGCTCCATAGCATTCCCACACTCGATGAAGGAGAGGGCAGCATCAGCATAATTCACTGCTTTGCCGAACTTCTCCAGCTGAAATGGGAATGACACCATCAAGAAAATCCTTCAGCTTTGATTTTCAGGTAGAGACATTTTATACAAAGCAATATTAGCATTAGGATGAAAGCAAAGCAACGCTGGTAGTTAAGGATGAATTCATACAGTAATTAAGGCAGGGACTGTGTTTTCACCAGATCTTTTCAGGTAGTATACAGCCCAAAGCTCCACAGAGGAAAGACAGTGTACGTCCATTGACACGCATCGATTTATACAGTCAGTGAGGGACACTAAGCATGTCTGAACAAATTTATATCCCCCCTCGACATACGAACTAAGTTTGAATGTCAAATTACAACCCCATGTCACTTGTCAGACATTGCATTCTGTTAACTGCTGACCAAAAGAAATAATCTCATCACTTATGTGATGATTGAAAGAGCAGAAACAAAAAAAAGGGAGAAAATATAGCACTGCTAAATATTTTATTTTACTAGGCTTTTACTGCAAAAGGTTTTAGCCCTCATAATGGTTGTGATTAAACTGACTTAGACATACTGATTCCTTTTTTTATGTGTAATGAATATTATATATGACATTTTTATAGTAAGTATTTTATAACAGTATTTAACATTTTCAATTTTTGATAGCTGGATGTAAGAATCCTACTAATGTGGCATTTGATATAAGAGATCCAATATATTTTAAATAATTTTTCAATTTCTTTGTATGTCTCTATCAAAATATTTTTGATGCATCTGCGTATGTTTTCCATTCACAAAATGGAAGCCTATCCTAGCAACATATTAAGCAGAACATTGAGTATTGGTTCAAGGTAACAGTATTTGTGCCTTTGTGGCTACTTCTAAACAATCTTTGCAACTAGCTCCCTCTGCATACGTTCAATTTCAAGTTCTGCTTTTGTGCACTGATTATATATAAAGCCTTTGTATAACTGATAGGTATTACTTGAATGACCACAAAAGGGGAATTATTTCTAAGTATTTTCTCCGTATTCTAATGGCCACTTCTCAGCATATTCTTTGAATTCCTTGCTTCAAGTCTTCCAAAGATTACTTTTTGTGGTATTTAAAAGAAGGAATGTGGCTGCAAGCATATTTCATACAGACACACAGTTTGAGCCAGAAATGGGATCTGATCCTGCCCTTTGCTCCATGCTGACTCCAGGAGAGTAGGTGGAATTCCTTCAGCTCATCACAGCTCAACTGAGAACAGAGTGAGGTCTCCAAGATCTCTTCCATATGTTACAGTCAGTTGCCAGTGCACCAGCCCATCCACATTAGCTGACTCCTTACTGGATCCAAAGATAGGTTTTCCTGGGGTCACTCCCATATGACACAAAATGCTAGAGTCAGTTAGGTTGGAAAAGACCTTTAAGATCATCAAGTCCAACCATTACCCCAGGAGTGACAAGCTCACCAATAAATGTCATTGAGGGCCTCATCTACATGGTTGTTGTATAATTCCATGGACAGTGATTCCAGCACTGCCCTGGGCAGCCTGTTCCAATGCCTGAGGACCCTCTCTGTGAAGAAATTGTTCCTAGTATCCAATCTAAACCTCCCCTGGCACAGCTTGAGGCCATTTCCTCTTGTTCTATCACTTGTTCCTTGAGAGAAGAGACCAACCCCACCTCACTACAACCTCCTTTCAGGCAGTTGTAGAGAGCAATAAGGTCCCCCCTGAGCCTTCTCCTCTCCCCGCCAGGTACCTCAGCAGTTCCTCATCACACTTGTGCTCCAGACCCTTCACCAGCTTCATTGCCCTTCTCTGGCCCCACTCCAGCACCTCAATGTCTCTCTTGTATTGAGGGGCTCAGAATTGAACACAGGATTCGAGATGCAGCCTCATCAGTGCCCAATAAAGGGGGATGATCACTGCCCTGCTCCTGCTGGCCATGCTGTTGCTGATATAGGCCAGGATGCCTGGGCACAAGCTGGCTCATGCTCAGCTCTGTCAATCAGCACCCCTGGTCCTTTTCTGCTGAGCAGCCACTCTTCCCCAAGCCTGCCCTTCACCAGAAATCTATTTTCCATACAAGCTCAGAAAGAGCACTGCCACAAATCCCATTAACATTTGCTGACACATTTTGAGGTCACATGCATTATCTTTCTAGCCACCGCAACACATCTTTCAATGCCGTGTGTGCTTTGTCATGTCAGCACCGAGTAACCAGAAGCAATTGTTTCCATAGTACTACTAACACTACGGGATTCCACAGCAAATGTGTTACATGGAGATAATTTGTGTGCAGCTGTATTGGGCTGGGTAAAAAAAAAGAAGTTGAGACCTAACTAGTGGAAAGAAAAACCAGATACTTTGTTCATGGGTATTTTTATCTGCCAACAAGTTGTATTGTACCGTATGGTCCCACATTCCTGCAACAGCACTCGGGGTGTCAAACTGCATGTGACAGGCAAGGCTTGCCTGCAGGCAGCAGCATGATGTGCTGTGCCTGCTCCTCTTAGTTCTGCTTGAGAAACTCCCCTGCTTCCGCAAGGCATAGTCAAAGGTAAGAGGATGGGAGACAGGTCAACACTTTCTTAGTGAATCAGGCTGCGGAGGGAAGCGGATTGACATAGCATGTTGAGATCATCAGGAGCCTGAGCCTGTAAATATTTGCTAGCATGGAGCAGGCATCCCTGTGCCAGAACCATGTGTATTTTCTTTAAAGGTCAATCAGCTGTGGGGGGTGCTGTCAGTCTGCTTCTGCCAGCCCTTCCTGCGTGCAGATGTCAGGGCTCTGACTGAACATGCTCTGCTAAGCTGGGCTGCAGGCATCAGTGCAGGCCACCTCCTGTAACCGGACATGTCGGGAGGGATGACTGCTCACTTACTGATAGCCATGGCAGGCTGCCAAGAACCTGAACCCACCTCCCACTGCAAACACACTTGGTAACACCGTGCCCCAAGTCAAAAGGCAGCCTGGAGAGCAGAAGCAGGCAGCCTGATGGATCAACTCTCTTTCAGCTCACTGACAGCAGAGGGAAAGCCATTTTATTTTAATTTCTTTTTGTTTGGTGTTTATAGAAACATAGCATTATTGGTTTGTTTTTTTTTTTTTTTGATAAAGACTTCTTTCCAAGAACAAAATCTCTGCTGTGGAATGATAAAATATACATGCAACACTCCAATAAAGTGAGAGGTAAATAATTACCCAGTTCTTTTTCAGTTCTGATTTTGAGGGGCAAAGTGAATGGCTACACCCCATTTTGGACATTTTACTTTAAATAAAGAGAGGACTCAAGTTCCACTAAGCCTGCCTAAATGAGCTGCTGTTCTGTACTCTATGTAGACTACAGGAACAAAGTCCTTACCTACAAAGCAAATGGCTATTAAAGGCACTTCAGTGCTAGCAATAGCTTGGACTGAACAAGCTATGATAGTCTGGCAGATTAAGTAGTTTTATCAAAACCAAAATACTTTGCAAAATTAGGTCAATCTTACTGGAATTTCATTTGGGGTAAAATGAGATAAAAGCTTTCCCAGCATTGAACTACCTCATTGCAAAACTTTTTGGGAAGTAGTGTGCTGAAAAGCCTAAAAGCATGCAATAAAAATGAATGTACTATTTAAAAATCAATTGTTGCAAATTTTAAACAATTGGATTGGAACTATCAAACAGTTTTACCACAAGATAATGGGGTGGAGGGTGATCGGCTTTTCTTAATTTTCTGTAATGGAATATTTCAGCACTTCTGGTTTAAGCACAAAGTAAATAGGAAACCAAATTTCAAATACACATCATCTTTCATGAAATTATCTTACATCCTTAATAAACAGTGTGACTGTTGCACCTCAGAAGAGATACCGACTATTGTAAGGAGCTTCTTTTTGGGGGGGGAATGAACTGTTAAAGGCTAGGAATGGTGCTCAGGGTTTGACTTGCTGTGGACACTGTATTTATGGAGTACAATCTGAAGCATACTTTAGCCAGTATCAGGGTTCCTCTTGGTTTCTGAGACTTTAGATGACATTCAGAATAGACATTTTTGTAACACCCAGTTCCGTAGTGGAGACAAAAATCCCCCGTGGTAACCTACCAATGCATCTGCTTTATGCTTTAGCTTCTTAGCCTCCTGCATGTAATAATCCGCATTGTGAAGCCTAAACAGACAAAATCAATTATTTCAAGTCTTTGTTTTCATACAGTTGGACAAACATTGTTTGAGAAAATTGCTGACTGCTTCCAAGAGCAATTTCAACATATACACCCACTTAGCTCTACATCTTAACCTGGTATTAATCTAAAGCTGCTGTATGCAAAGATATGATGGGCAACCAGAATGTAAAATAACTAGCTGAAGAAACTGGATACTCAAAGGACCCATTAATGTTTGCTGAACAGAGGAAAAGGAAGAATATTTTAAATTAATTAAGTATTAAACGTTTCCATTAGAGGAGCTAAAATAAAATAAAAAAAAAAAGAATTACCGTGAATCAACATTCATGATCTAAAAACATTTATCAACTGAGTCTTCATTAATCAGTGACAATAGTTCATTTGTAAAGATTAAAACTTTGTGCAGCACTATCCACACAGGTGCCCAATGCTAGTGTTATGATCAAAGATAATCTCTTTCACTGGGACCTCTGCTTGCACAAAAATCCCAGCTAGCACAGACGCCAATAATACTTACACATCATCAAATGTTATTTTGGGTCTTCTGGTCTCAGAATTCCCATTGGAAAGTGTTGGCATTGCAGACCAAATGTCTGTTTCTAGATGGCTAGTGTCAAGAAGAGGGTTGGCTGTTGGTGCATTGTGAGATTCTTCCTCCTAGATCAAAAAGGACTGTTACTAACTCTTGATAGTTCAAGCAAACAGCTTCCAACAATGGAAGTGCTCATATGCACTCTTCACAAAAAAAAACCATACAAACAAAAGACTAAGGCACAAATTATCACTTGTTTATACCCAACTACATCCAGGTTACCTCACAAAACCACCCTTCTATCCTTTATAACATAAGCCTATTAGGTTAATTAGGCAATACGACTCTACCTCTGACCCATCACCTGAACTCATTAACTTACACTCCTAGATGAAATCAGCGCAGATGCCACAGTGTGACTGACTAGAAACACTGCTGAAAGCAACGTTGGGGAAATCTAATGCAGAAGGGCTGGATGTAAACTCGACTTCATTCAAGGAGTATCACACTAATGTAACTATTTTTCTATATTATTATTATCTAACTGTAAGGTGTCTGAAAAGTCTGCTCAGATTTCAGCAAGAAGTGGCTTCCTCACCCTTGCGGCACAGAACAGAGAGAAGAATGGAAAGCAGAAGTCAGGAGTTGTGACTTTGCACTGATTAAAACCAGAAGCATAACTGAAACTTTTTAATCAGGCAGCTGCAACTTGCAAGCTAGGTCCACAGCCAGATAAACTAAATTACAGATGAACCAATGAACTAGGAAAAGAAGTCTAACATATTTTAGAACACAAATATGTCATATATCAGGTTAATAGATAAACCAAGGATAAATCTGACTAGAGATGCTGGGAGCAAGAGGAAGTGGCCCTGCTGTTTACATAGCATTGTGTATTTGCTGACATATGCGGTTCATTTTGGCATTGATTTCAGTTGAAGGCATGTGTATTAGTCTCGCAGCTTGAAGTGACACAATGATATCAGAAAGCAACAGGGATGAATGAACAAGGTGAAGTGATTTGTCACCTACGATCCAATGCAAGTTGTGAGTTTTACTATTACAGTGCAGGGTAACAACCTCTCACGAAGCATCGAACTGTGAGAAACGGGGCTACGCGTGTCCTTTTCTGTGGCAGAATTTTCTCTTGTCTTTTAAATTTGACAAGATACAATTTGATACTAAATGATATGTCTGAAACTCAAGAGGGTTTATTTAAAATGGGCCCAAACCCTCAAGTTTGCCTGTTTAACCTAAAAGGGGATAACAAACAGATGTGAAACTTTACTTTTTTTTTAGTGAATTTGCTATGCAGTTTCTAGGCTTGGCTCTTTTTCATGTATTTTCAGTAAAAAACCTCATCTGAATCTGGTGAAAAGCAAGCAAACAAGAATTGCCTATATTAAAAACTTTGAACAGGAGATGGCCCTAACAGAATGATGGTTTGGTTTGTTTTTTTTTTGGTGAAAAAGCCAACTATTTACATGGTATCTGAAAGCTTATACACATAATTCATGGATATTAGATGTAAATAAACCTAACTGCTGGAAGCTGGGAGACTGCAAACCTGAGACAAGGTATTTCCATGTTGAGTGTCCTATGGACAGGTAGTTTTTTGTTAGATTTTTATTGTTTACTTTAGTCCACAATATTCAGTATAACTACAGTACTTAATTCTAGGTGAGAATCTGGGGAAATTATTCAAATGATGGATACCAAAATTCTTGAAGCTTTATTTTTGAAGAGTTTGTGCTATAGCTACAGATCTAAGGGATTAATTGCAGCTAGCTGGTGGCTGCAAAGCTCTCCTCTGAGGCTCTGGGACCAATACACAGTGCCAAGTAAATGCCCGATGCTGACCTAAAAATGGAACTTACAAGAGTTGCCTATGACCAGCTCTGCAAAGATCCACTCGTCGTTGATCTTGAGTGGGGCTACATAAGCATTTAAAAATAGATACTGAGGGGGAAGAAAAAATCAAACAGAACAAAGCTAAGTTAATTTTATCTTGTTCACTTCCAAAAACTGAGGTCAGTTACTTACACAGATTCCTTTGGGGTTAGAAGATTTATTTTCATTCTTTCTGTGTTTAGAAACAGAGGAGGAAGAGCTGCTGGTCTGAGAGGTGTTTGTGATGTTTGTCTCCTGGCTGAAGGAGCTGTTGTCACTGCTGTGCCGCCGGTGCACAGGCTCGTCCAAGAGTGGGGATAACGGAGGAGGGAACAGCTTCTCTTCTCTTTTCTTTGCCACCTTTTTCACTGAGTTACCGCTGCTCCTGGGACACAGATAAGAATCAGTTGCATTTCAAGAATCTCGGTTAATCCTCCATAGAACCAGGATTATATTTACTGAGAAGCCTGCTCTACCCTCAAATATGTCCTGCAGTCCCCATGTCCTAGGAACTAAGTCAAAAGGAAATAGGCAGGGAAAACAGAAGAGCTACCTCTGCCTTTTCAATGGCTGCAGAAGCCTCTTGCTTTGGAGGACAACTTCCAGTGCATTAGTATAAATTGTCCAATTTAAATGCTAATTTGAGTCAGTCTTCATTTAAGAGGTCACAGAGGTTCTGACTCAGCAAAGTGCTGGAAAGTTTTATGCATGGGGTTAGTTCCTTTGACATCAAGTATGACTATTTATGTGTTTAACATTACGCATCTTCTTAAAAGGTGGATTAGGACCCACATAAGCAACCTCTGCAAAAAGCATAACAGCACATGGCACATGAACCAAAAAAAAAAATTTGTAACAACTACAAAATGATAACCATAATAATAACAAGATAATAATTATTTGACCTCTAGAATAAAACCAATGTTCAACACTATATTAAAACGATACACTGTAGCTGGTAAAAGCCCTTGAGCAAATATTGGTTGATGAATTGAACTTGATTCAGAAAATGAATGTGGTTTTGACATGAAAGCTCAAGTAATATGATAATCTGTTGTCTGTTTTATGTACAGAAATTGTTAGCTGGCTAGAAGTAGCAGCTGTGATACACAGTAAAGCCCCAAAAACCTCACAGACCTTTCTCCCCTCAAATCCCTCAAAAAGGATAAAAACAGAACCCAACACCCTGCTGTTTAACATGTTAATCTGCTCATAGATTTTTATTTTTGGTACTGTCCCAGCTCAGCCAGTAAAGATAACCTGAATTTTAATCTTTTGTTAGACATCTAATATTGTGCTACACGGTCATTTACTTTTCATGATTATTGACCAAAATTTCAATAACAAATTAAGTCACAAAGAATTTGTTTCCTTCCCAGTCACTTTCAGTCAGTGTCAGGAATTACACATCTACTCTGCCTTAAAGTAACCAGGGAAAGAGGGGAAGGCAAGCCAAGCTTCTTTGCTCCTCATTCTGGAGCTCTCTTATTCCAGCCTGGCTTCTTTTGCAGTTTTGCCAACAGTATCAGGATCCACACCTACTTTGGTCATTCCCATTTGGTCATTTGGTGAATATAAAAATATGATATAAAATCTGGTGATAGAAGACTATTTTAGTTTATCTGTAAAATCAAACAAGCTCCCCATGTTTCGGGTTTTATATCTCTTCTAATCAAAACTGTTTGGAGTGCAGCAAAGTTAAAAGTATCCGATTTGAAATTCTGATATTAAAGATCTTCAGACTAAAGGAATCAAATAAGCACAGAAATTCATGTTGCTTTACAGTAGGACTGGTATGGATCCTGTCCTGCTCAGAAAACACATGGTCCTGATCAAAGGAAAGCAACCAGATTGGAAGACACTGGCAGTTCTTTGAGGAGCCTGATTTTATGTGCATGTGGACCTGCAATGGCCTCCAAAAAGTTCTTACTTGCAGCCTCATCTGTTAGCTTTCTGACCCCCAAAGGGCATTTTGGAACTCAGACGTATTTACCACAGCTATAGCGCAATAACACTGAACTTCTTCCAGAAGAAAGTTTTCCAAAGGAGGGCATGCCCAGGAAAGCATGCAAGTTACCAGATTGTGCAGAGGCAAAGCAGACACAGTTAATGAAATCCCAGGAGCAGAATTCAAACCCGCTGCCTCCCAAATGAGTGTCCTACACAGGGAATCCTGAATATGCACATACAGGTGGGAGCAGACAGCAAAACAGTTCTCTGGGCTGCTGTGCATGGAGGTGTGTGGAAGTCTCCTTTCTCCCTGGTACAGCTTTGCAAAGTGAAGAGCAACCACACCTGGTAGATCTCAAAAGCATATGAAGAAAAACTTGTGCTACTGGCCAAGACCCCTTCAGGTTCTGACTCTGCACCGCTAGTGAGGTTCCTCAGCACACCCATGGATATTTCCAGGGCTAATGCAGGACTCTTGCTTGCACAGAGTCTACAACTGCACGGGGAAATTTAAGGCATATGTGAAGTAACTGAAGCAACATTGCTCAGCTGTACACAGAGGTGGAGGCATCATGAGAGTAGTATCAGAAAAACTTAAGGTGGCTGTAAGTGCCATGACTTAAAACTTCACCAGTTATCTCCTTCTCTGGACTTAAATATAAGAGGGGAAACCAACATACAGGTGCAGCTCCTCAGCTCTGGCACACACGTCATTCTGTGGGTGGGAAGACTTAACCACAAAATAAAATGAACTTGAGGATATTTTTTTTCTATAGAACTCAAAACTCCAATACTTTATGGTTATAATTCTATTTAGTTTTTTTCTTTTCTATTCTTTTTTCCCCTGTTGCCTACTTAACCCTATGAGTTTTTGAAGGAAGTAAGCCAATAATTTATTTAGTAATGTTACCTCCCTAAGATTTACACCAAAGCATTTATGTTAACAATAACCTCTATGAACTAGGTTGTTACCAGCAGTAAACCAGATTGTCACTTTGCTTTGGGCTGTAAATGCCTAAGAAACTGGTCTTTGATTGCAGTAATTGCTAATTTTGAATGAATTTATTGCAATAATTACCAAGACTCAATGGTTTAATTTGCTGACATGATTGTTAGTTAAACTAAACATAAAACCTAGGGAGAAACACAATAAAAGTTTAAGGAAAAATAGAAGCAGAACTGATGGTCCTGTGGCTGCAGGGTTTAGTTTTTGTGACTGAAAAGGCCAATTATCAAAACCCAAGAAGGATCCCCATTTTTTTTTTTTTTCCAACCAGGTTTCTTCTGGGGCAGAAAACAAGCAGGCAACAAGAGGTCACTGCATGAAGGAGAGAGAAAATTTCCATTTCCTCTCACATTTCAAGCTGCCTTTCTTTACCTTTTCTTTATGCACTCCTTGTGGTATTCAGTGGTATCTCTGGCTTATTAGTGACACAAAACCATTGCCTATACCAATCATTTGGTTTTTCTTTGCCTCAGCTCTCCCTGTCCACAATGAAATGCTGCATATAGATGGCTGTGACTACCCAAAAGATCAGCTAATATGTGCTGCCAAGTATAGGTGCATCTTCAACTACAGGTCAAACAAAAGGGAACAGGACATCTTGAAAACCAGGCTGAAATGCTTGCCTCAGACAGACTTCCAGTGCGCCTGCTAGACAGCAAGCATGTTTCACTGGTACAAGTCCAGTTTGAAATTCAGACATTCTGCACCAGCAAAGAACTCTCTGCATTGTTACAAACTGCTAAACATTGGCTAACAGTGCTCTGGACTGGGTCTACCAATCAGGTATTCAAATATAAAGGGTATTCAGCAGCACATAGAATTAATGCCTAAATTAAAATTGCTCTGGCAAGCAGGTAAATACGTAAATAATCCTCTGCTGCAAAGGGAGCAGCTGACCTGACAAAAATCCAGCTTCACAGCAGTGTTTCAGCTTTAACTACTTGGATAAAACACAGCATCATTTATTCCTTCACTTGCTATGAAATATCAGAAACAAGGAAAATACAGTAGCATTTGTTTGAATAATTTTAAGTGTCATGTCAGATTTAAGAACAGGCATCAGCCCCAGAATGTGTGAGGGAAGAAACAGAGAGATAACCAGTTGCTTATAAAATGACTACATAATACAAACCAGCTCTTAGCTTGTGTGAACAGCTTTTAAGTTCGTAATTGACCACTTGAAACTTCTACACTCAAATTGTATATGTAGTCATAGAAACTTGTGGAAATTAGGCATATAACTGTCCATATTAGAAATGTAACCCTTTAAAACTAATTGTGCATCTTTGTTTACTTTATGAGCACATATATTTAGGGAAAGACTATGAGGAAATGTATTCAAATGTCTAAACCATGGACAGCAAGCTAGTGAGAGCTGTAGAGGCACGGTGAAAGGGGGCTGTCTTTCACCAATTCCTGCATATTCCTGAATGCCTCCAAATTTCAGCCTAGAGGTCATAGTCTTCCTGTCAAAAGACTCTTCTATCTATAAAAACCCCAATGAAAGTCTCTGAAGGCTGTCTTGGGGAACTTGGCGTATTGGCACAGGGATGAAGTTCTAACACGAGAGACTTAAGGCTCCTCCCAGGTGGGAATATCCACCATGGGACATACCACCTTCTTAATGGATGAACATCACCATCATGCCTGTGGCTGAATCACCCTGATTTCTCAAAGTTCTTACATAGAGATTTAGGAGTTCTGAAAGAAATGTAAAACCTTTGGGAATAAAGAAGAAAATGGCAAAGCCTGTCTTTCAACCTCTTACCACTGAAGTGTTATTTTCCCCCATGCCCTTGAAGAGTGTACTTTCAGCTTCCCCTTTGTTCTGCCTCCCCTTAAAACTCTACCTAACCCTCTGAGGAACAGAAGCACTCCTGACTACTTAAAAATAATCTGGGGCTCTCCAGAAATTTGTCACCACACAGTTCAGCCAGCTCCCTAATCTTCTGGGAAATATGTTGATCTCTATTCAGTTGCACATTGCTGGGAGTTGAAGACCTGAATTATCAAACAATATTGCATTTGTTTCAAGTGAACTCAGAAAACACTAATAACAAATGCAGTGTGATCCAGGGCTCAATCACTGCGGTGAAAAAGAAGTCAGAAAATTTTGTTTAAAAACTTGAGGCAGACAAGACAAAAAGCTGGCATATGGAAATAACTATTGATGGACACAACTGTATTTTAACAGAGAATACCAAGCTCCAAGGAATCAAATTAATGACCTGGAAAACAAGCTCAAATTAAGAAACATCAGGTTGGGGGTGGATCCTTAGGGCTTGCTGGTGGCAAGTGTAGAAGGATTTTTTTAATGGATTGTGGAGGTGTTGGGGATGGATAATCCTTGATTCCCCCTGCAATATATCTCTGCATATTGTATTTCTAGCAATTACAATCAGGCAACACCCATCATGATCTTTATCAAATATGCAACATGTTACAGAACACACTGTAAGTTTCAACTCATCTGCCTTTTTCAGACTCCAACTGACTTTCCCAGTGGTAAAATGAGGGCTTAGCTCAAGGACTTAAGTTAGTCCTTGGTATTTATATACTAGGATAAATAAAATGATGCTCAACCTTCCTTATGGGTTTTAAATTTTGTATGCTATTTCATAAACAATCTTTGAAGTTTATCTAAATTTAAATACTACTACACTCAAATTGTTTTCAGAAGTACATTGAGGGTTTGATCCTCTGCTTGTCCCAGCAGAAAGAAATGCCTCGTCTCAAAACTGTAAAAGCAAAGAATTGATGACAGAAGGGAATTGAACTCTTTGGTTATTTATAGAATGTTAATCTTGTGATTATACTAATCAGAATCATTATTTTTGTGGCACCTGTTTGCTCAAGCATTATAGCCATCTCTCAAAGACATTCTGAAAGGCACAAGGTATCTGATTACATGTCTGTAATCAAATACAAAGGACATGTCTGAAACATTAAGATTGGTCACCCCTGGCATGGCTGTACACACAGTTAAAGAATAAGAACCACTGAAGTGAACAGCAAAGTCACTATTTTGTTCAATAAATCAGAAAACCGTCTCTTATGAAAACAATTTAAAACAAATAAATTCCAGGCAATCAAATAAAGCCCACTTTTAGTAGGATCTTCTGGCCATAGGGGTTAAGGATGATGGGGCAATAAAGAACATTGAAAAGACATAGTATGGGGTAAAAGAGCACACCAGGATTGCGGTGGCATTCTGAATGCCTGTGGTCCATCAGAAGGATGAATGAATATCATCCAAAACCACATGGAACTTCTTCCTGAATGATGGGAATAGTGATGCTGGGTCACTTACCCTTATGGGCTGTAAACCACACCTGGGTCTACAGCAGAGACATTTATAGAACATTACCATGAAATCCCTCATGAATGTTATTTGTAAAAGAAACCCAACTTACTCTTTAGTGCTGGTTAATCTATGATTTGGTATTGGAGAGATACAAGGTGGGAGCAGGCATGAAGCTGAAGAGTCCTCCAGACGCTGTTTCTTGCTTTCAACAAAGGTATCCAGGCTTTCTGTCTGCTTTAATGAAAAGAGTAGAATTTGAAAGATTCAGCATGCAGTTTCACTTGTTATTAAGAAGGGCTCAGGAATCTCAATGCATTTCCTTTACAGTAGCAGCAGTTAAAATACTGGTCTAAGAGAAGTGAAAGTCACCTGAAATCAGGGCTAAATGTGCTCCAAACATGATACATGAAGTTACATAACAAACGACATAGCCAGATAATTAAGCAACAAAATGCCTCATGTGTTGTAGTTATCTTCTGTAGTGCACTGGAATGTAATTAATAATTCAGATGGAATGACGTGATAGCACCAAATCTTACTCAAGTAAATAGCTTTTACTCACTGACTTAATAGAAGTTGATGGGAAAACTTCCCTTAGTAAGTATTCCTCACAGGACTAGAAGACTGGAGTACCAAGCTGGGGTAGTCATTAACAGCGACAGCTGGTTTAAAATTTGCTTTGAAAGATTCCCTGATGCATGACTTTTGCGTCTGAACTAGGATGATACAAGCAAAGCTGATTACTGCTCTGTCACTGGAACCTTCATATCAGCCTTTGAGCCCTCTAGTAGGTGGCTAAAATAAATCTTTTAATAGCATGATTTAGAAACAGAAATCAGGCTCTCCCTACCCTTTTTCAACTGATGATATACCCTCAAGTCATCCTAATTGGCTTGTTTCCCCTTGGGAACAATCACACAGCAACTGAATAGGCTGTTCCAGAGGGTAACTTATGTTTGCACAGTCCCAGAGTGAGATTCCTCATTTTTTTTTACTTTCTGATTCAAATTATGAGGTTCCATTTTTCATGACCATGTTATTTTTCCTGGGAGCCCTCAGTTTAGTTGCCAATACTAGCCAAGATTCCGTCTCCATCATACTGACACTCCATTAAGGTACCTAGCAAGAAGGTTTTTTGCATTATTAGTATGCACCCTGGTGTACTTATACATACACATAAGCATGGACACTTATGCATCCCTTTTCTTTCCTCCTTCTTTCTTACATATCTGCCCTTAGTGTACAGCTAGAATATAAATTGAATAAAAACCTGCTGAGTTTACTCATGTGATTATTTCCACTTAATTCAACAGGGAAGGAGCCAGTGCAGTGACTCATGTAGGCAGGGGTGCAGACCCTGTGTCTGCCTGGCATTGTCTGTCTTTGTTTAGTTAACTCTCTCGTAGCACTGGACTGCTCAAACTCAGGATTTCAAGAAGTCCACTACAACAGACAGCTGAAGTCACACTCACAATCATTTATAAAATCTGGGGTATAAAAAAACCCATGCTATGATGACTTCTCACAGACAGACCAGAGCACAACCATTCCAGCTGGAAAAACTGACTACAAAAATTCATTTATGATATAAAACTTCAGTATTTGTTTTTCCAAATACACGTTTAGTTTGATGTGCACTGTCATACCCCACAAGATAGGATACCCTTGGGTATAAATAACACAAAACACATGGTAAACCATAACACCTTAAGTCAAAATATATTTGCTTTTTCAGGTAGCTGTGTAGAGAAAGCAGCTAGTTAAGAAAATTATATTTCTATGAATCACATTTGTTTATACAACAAAACAATACAGACTAAATTCACCAGGAGCATAAGCAAGCACCACTCCATTGACTTTAATGAAGCTATGCCTATTTAAGCCAGTGGTGAAAATGCCTTAATTCTGAAGACAATAAAATCCTGCCTTCCAAATAGAAGTCACATTTTCTGGGTATGACTGAACCCGTAGTCATATTAACTTGTCATTGGGAATTCTTCTGCAGATTAGAGGACACTAGAAATTAATGGATAAGTGAGCAAATAGAGTGAAAAAGCTTGTAAGACCAATGTCAAAAAAATACATTGTTCATTGATTTTGTCAGCTGGAGTTTGGTTTTTACTGGTTTCTGATGCTAATTTGCAGTAATGCACTTGTAAATGTATGTTCTTTGAAAAAACAATAAAGCCTTAGTGTTATGAGTCCTCCTTACAGCCCTGCTGCAGGTGCAGTGAGGAATCAGAGAGTGATCCTGACATCAAGGATGCATACAAATCCAATGTTTTCCTCCAGACAGTGAAAATTACTTACCTTGTGTTTCCTTTTGGATTTTGTGGGCGGCTTTTCAGGTGCTGGGGTAGGGGACTCACGAGATGGTCGCCTGTGTTTCACATTTGCCTCTCTTGGTTCACTTTTCACAGATGTGGTCTCAAAAGGCTCTTGTCCAGGTATCCTAGAGAGTAAACTAAGGTCTATTTTCACCCACAGAGATTTGAGTTCTTCATATTCTCTCAGAGGGGACAGAAGTTCGTTTTGTACGATTGGAATAGGAGAAAAGAGCTGCTCCTCCAGGTCATTGCTAGTCTGGTCAATAGATGTGTTGCTGCCATTGCTAGTTAAACTACTTACGCTGAGGATGTTACTGCCAGAGTCCTTTGCTTTGACACCGCTGGCAGAGCCAGGGCAAGCTGGCAATACCTTAGCCTGCAAGCTCTCCTCCTGGTCTGTGTTTGAGTCAGAAGTAGATGAATCCGTTTCAATGAATTCCCGGGATTTGGGGACAATTTTGCTGGGGCCTCTGTACTTCTTCTTCTCTGAAGTGAGACCTGTGCTAGTTCGTGGTTCTTTCCTTGGAGCAGTCTTTCCAACTGCTGCTTTAGTTCGAACCTTTGGCTGCTCGGGGGGTTCCTGTGTGTCTTTTTCTTTGGGAGTGTTGCTGATATTATTTGGTTTGGGCCAGTTATACTCTTCTACACTGGAAGTCCTTTCTACCTTTTTGGGTTGCTTTTTCCCAGTAGTCCTTTGTGAAGTTGGCTCATTATGAGCTGGTGACTTCTGCTTGGAGCTTTTTGCCTCTGGGGTTTTCTGGGCAACCCGTGGTTTGGCTTTCTCTCGGATGGGACTAAGGATCGCCCGGTCTTTGGAATCGGTTGGGGGCAGGCTGCTGTTGAGTTTCCCTTTGTTAGGCCCTTCGGCCTGCTGGTTGCTCTGGGTCTGGGAGCTGGTCTCACTGTGAGGCTCATTTTGATTGTTGATGATGGTCTTGTTGTGGGGGTTCACTTTATTTAGCCATTTATCCAGCTGCCATTTGTTTGTTGAGGGGGGTTCAGGCTGCAGATGGAAGAATGACAAGGAACAAATCTCACACACAGAAGCAACGCTTTTCCCTTTAAAAGAGAATGTTTTTAATGTACCCTTTTATTTCAGTCAACTAGTGGTGACTGCTAGTTTTATGGGAGTATTTATGGAGTATTTATGGTTAATTAGGCTTCCTTATCTGGTTTACAATGTTACCCTGGAGAAATTTAATACAACTAAAAAGTTTATCTGGTCCCTGAAGACATACTTTTGTTATGTTGCCTTCCCTTAGTCCCAGATGAACACTGTGTCAATAAAATCTTCTCTAGCTACTGGCAAAAATCTAAATATTTCTTTCAAAGAATTCAAATGTAGGCCAGAAGGATTCTTCCAAAAGCTAGTATGAGTATGTGGGTCATACACATAAAACTGTGAAGTGGGAAAAAAGTCAACAGCATCAAACAGCAGAGAACTCCAACATCTCCTATCAGGGAGCAGGATTTCATGTTTGTCCATGCTTTCCCCTCCGAGCACCCACTGGGGAGGAGCTGAGCGTGGCTTTACCTCTGGCGTGGCACTGCGTGACTCCTCGTTGCACTCACTGTCACTGGAGCTGCTCTCGCTGTCGGAGTCAGACTCAGAGCTGCTCTCGGACTCACTGGAGCTCCCGGAGCCGCCACTGGAATGGGCCAAGCCAGTTGCGTGCGCTGCTGGCACGGGCAGGCTGCTGTGGGGAGAAGAGCCTCTCGTGTCAGTATGCTGCTTTTTTAAAGTGTCGCCTTGGGGGGAGCTACCCAGTGAACCCAGTTCACACCGACTTTCTTCTGTGTCAACTCCCCCTCCTGCAGTACAGACCAGTGAAAGCTTCATGGGTCACTGCATAGGCACCAAAGGAGCCCATTGGGTTTATGCTTCACAGGACACACTGATAATGGTGTTAATCACATCACCATCACCATCACCCTTAAATGAGAAACACTTCAGTGTCACAAGCCTGAGCTTATTAGCCCAGTGATTGCAAATACTAACAATCACACTTCAATAATTTATTAATGGAATCACGGTTTCTTCATTTTTTGCTGGTTCATTTATAATTTATGATGAAAGGAAGGACATCAGGCAACTAATATTGGATGGGGCATTTTAAAAATTAATTTTAATGAATACTTCTACACTGCAGTGTACAAAACCTACATATTTTTGACAAGTCCGCAGGGACTGCCCCAGAATTTTTTATTTATAGCTGTTTTTTCTCCCATGTTTATGATAATGCAGTGAGAAAATGGCATTCATGCTGAAAATAAGCCTCTCTGTGAAATCTATTTTTCTGCATGTTCAACTGTCCTCCAGGATGTATTTATTAGCAATGCACTGGGTGTCATTGTCTTTCCTCAGCATTTATTTCTAAACTGAGAGGTTGGATGACCCCAGTTTTAAGCACTATGAATTCTGCCATCTGCGTCTTTATAAACTCACCTTTAATTTCAACTTTTTTCTCAGGAAGATAACCATAAGGTTTTATGTCTCTTCAGCTGATCTGTTCAGGGACTTTTTGATGACTGATTTTAAATTTGTGAAGCTGACAAAGCAAAGTGTTTGAAAATTGACACCGCTTGCTAGTACTCCTTTATGGATATTCAATACTTCAACTTAATATATCATATGCTCTGTGTGTCCCATATTGAGCGATTCTGAGATGCATAGAAGTCATAATACAGCTTTGCCTTCATTCCTGCTATCTGCTTTTTTACTTCCCTCCAAGAATGATTCAAGTAAGCCAGGAACACGCCTTTCTTCCCCTTTCAAACTGAGATGCTATGCGCATCAAGATGCCTTCTTAAGAAACCACACTAACCAAGAAACTGGAAGTTGGAAAAGTCAAAAAACTACGTGTGACCTGCTCTGCTAGAGTTTTTACAAGTATTGCCATTGGCTTCAGTGACAATAATAGATGGTCTTTAATTTTCTTCTTATGCTAAGCTACTTTCTCTCTCCCTCCTTGTTGGTAAACCTATCCCTTACACTGCAGTTGGTAACATAACTGTCTCTTTGAGCACTGCAATGGCCCTGCAGTGCCCATTGACAAAAAACAGCTTGGTGCTTTAGGGTGCATTAATGAAACAAAATTACTCACTTGGGTAATTCCTACAGATCACTAGCTTTGTTGCTCATTAAGTGCATATACTTCTCTCCCTCCCCTCCCCTTCTTCTAGAGGCTCTTCACTCAGCTGATTCAAATAGAGCTACTTTACAAATTTCAACTGGAAGTAACAGGTAAATCAAATAGATGCTTTTAAAAACATTGGCATTTCCAAAACTATCATGGAGAACTAATCACTGCTGAATTAAAAGGTAAATCTTGCACTTCGTATTTAAAGTCACTATTTTTGGAAACTATTTTCACATTTGCTTTTCTTTCTTTATCCCTCCTTTTCAGTGAAGCTCAAGAAAGTGTAGCAAAAGACTTGTTTTTACAGTGAAAAAGGAAACAAGTAAATGTGTTTGTAAGGGATTTTGCCTTTCACTTCAATATATTGTGGTTTTGGCCTTATATTTTCTGTTTAGAAAACACTTAAAGCAGATGAAACCTGAGTTTTCCTACTTCATTACAACTGTTTCCAAGAAGAAAGAAAAAGAAGAGAAAAAATAGAAAAAACTGCAAGGGTTCCAAAGCTGAGGAGGCAAACGTGGCAATTCCATTCTAAAATACCAAAATGAAACATCAGCCTTGAAACAAATGCTACTTATGGAATTATCAGAATGATGAAGCTGCAATCTAAAAATTACTTTTTCCCTAAATCTGTGAGCTTCGTCTATTTTCTTCATCTATTTCACTTCAACTAGAAGTGAATAAGACAATATTAATGCTTCACCCTTTCTGGAAACTCCAGTTCCCACTACTCTAGCAGGGAGCTGGCTGTCAAGACAGGGGGACCATGAGCCTGGCTCCTGCACGGACTTGAAGCATCTTTGTAGCTGGGCACACAGACCTGCACCAGACTCCTCCAGTGACAAAGCTCCTTGCCTGGGGTGGTTTATGCCCAGTACAGAAGGATGTGTGTGAGGCTGCTCACACATCTGTGCAGATTGCCTAAGAAAATGCTCTGCTGTCAGTGCTGGCAAGTTTTCTCTCATTAAGATAACTGATTTAAAGTATATCACCCCTTATAATAGATCAAAGAAGAAAAAGCCAGTGTCCCAGCAGGTAAGGCCAGACCTTTGAAGCCTTTAAACACAACCTACATCTTTTAGCGCTCTGGAAGAGAAATGACACTGTAGCTGGGATGCACTTACACAAAACAACTAGAGTTGTACTGTAGCAGACTGCAACTGTCTGACAAAGAAGTCAGAGGGCAAGAAAAAACCCATGGAAATAGATGGTAGCTCCAGCCTGGCCTTATTTTCTTTCTTTCTGCACACTAGCCTTAGAAAATTATCATATGCCAAACATTACTGAATAACACAGCTCAGCAAGCTTGCAGGAACCAGACAGACTCAAAATAATGTTTTTCATACAAAACACAATGAGGTCATATTTGTCTTTCATCTGGGATAATAAAATTATGCCTTGGCTACATCGGGTGGCTTCATGCTGAAGACATCATTGCTGATCTTCATTTTTAAAGTAGAAGCATTCAAATTTTCATCATATAGTTTGGGTTGAGAGTAACACTGTTTGCATGTTTGCAAAACAATCAGGTAAGATCCAAAATGTCTTTCCTAGCATCTCCCCATACTAAAGAGAGATCTTGCATATAGGTACATGCACAATCAACTAGTAATGCTGTTCAGCAGAACAGAAGAAAATATACAGACCTTTCACATGCAAGTGCATGAAAAAAAAAATGTATCTTTGCTTCCAATAAAGTGAGTGTAGTGGAGAGATTCCTGGTTGTCTTCTGAGTTTTTTTCCTTACATAAAATATACCTTTTAGTTCAAAACAACAGATTGGTTTGCACTCTTCCAAAGACTTCTTTGGCTTTAAAGTTAAAGCACATGTTTTAAAAGATGATGAGATAGATTCTGAAAATGTGCATTCAAGGAGCTGTTATACAAATAAATGGGACTAATTCACACACATATCAACTACATGAACTGGGGGCTGCCTCTCTAAGAGACTTTCAAAGGAAGCTTTGTTGTGTTGCTAAGATCCAGACAAGGAATGCCAGCCTGGACAAGGTTTAAAATGGATTTAAAGCATTTTACCATCAGATACAAGTCCTCAAAGTGACTAAAGGGGGCAGGAAGCACTGGTATTTGAAACTCTTGAATTTTTATTTCCTAGCAGGAGATGAGCACTCATATCATTCCTCAGTGCCTGGGTGGACAATGTTTTTATTTTATTTGAACTGAAAAAAAAAAAAATTAATAAAAACAATGCTTCCCAATGGAACACAGTATTGTTTGGGTAAATAACACTTAGAAGAAAGCCAGTCCATTATTATTACTTGAGATTGGAGGCTCCTACTGAGACCAGTGACCCGCTGTGCTGGAATCTGTGTAAATACATGACGAGACACAGTCCTTGGGCCAAAGAGCTTGCAATCCAAACACACAAAGCAAACATGAGAGGTATTACAATCATCCTCATACTCAGTATGGGCCTCTCATATTCTCTAAGCCCAAGGCCTCTCCGAAGTTAATGGAAACACCAGTTTCCTCCCCTTCCGTTCTCCTCATTTTCCAAGCCCTGTGCTCAGCAGTTGAGGTGTCCTGCAGGGCAGTCAGAGAGGCTCTGCCCAGACCTGGAGCCCTTACCATGTCTGTGCTAAGTGGGAGGAAAAATACACCTGTGACTTGGTAGCAAGGATCCCCATCACTCAGGCCAGATGGACCAGCATCTGCTTACCCCTCTCCAGAGCAGCTTCTCCTGTGCCATAGAGATGAGTGACGCTAGAGTGACACCCACCACTGTAGGTGGAGGAAAACCAGGAAAACCTTTTGCAAAGGCCATCGTGATGATGTCTCTAGCTGCCTGCAGGTTGGTAAGCTGGTCTCCTCTCTGCTATCAAACAATGAAGCAGACAGAAAGATACCTGCATGCTCAAAAGTGATTTGGAAAGAAGCTCTTCTGCAGCACTTTCACCTATCTCCCTCCTGCTTTTGCAGCACACAGCACTTCCCCTGTCCCTTGCTGCCTGGTGGCATGACTGCGTACAGCATGGACACAAAGTATAAAGTGAGAAATGTCTTGAAGGCCAGAACAACACCAATATCACCAGTGCCTGCCAGTGTTTTTCAACACTTGTTGAGCTAAGGCTTAACTACAGAGCAGCTGAGGCTTGCAGGTGTCTGCTGGTGGTTCCTGGTAAGCGACTGCATCAAGCTCATCACACACCAACCATTGTGTTTTCACTGCCATTCACTGGTACAGGTGAGCTGCCTAAATTTAAATGTAACCCTGCAGCTTGTCTGGTTTTAAACTTATGGGTAATTTTTCCAAAGCCAGTTAAAGCAGACACAGCATTATTATATATTTCGATTATTATGCTGCCTAGAGAACTGGAGGCCCAACATGCAGCTTACACTTTCTTGTTGTCATCTAAGCTATTTTCAACACATCATTTACTCTGTTGTAATAACTTATTTTCAAGATTAAACCTGGTAGTTACAACGAAGATAATGTGAAATACTTAAACTCATTAACTTCTAATAAGAAAAAGAATAAGCTTTTTACCCTGTAAATACACATGTAAAGAAAAGTTGTGTAATTCAGCCTACTGCAG